ATTTGATGGCGATATGAGTAATTTCGCATAATTTTTGCTTATTATATTGATATTATTTTGATTATGTTCGAGAAGAGGTAGTTTCACGAGATATCAAGTCGCAATTCGACAATGGCAACGCCGCGATATAGCAGTTTGAAATTCTGAGAATTCCTTCTCATAGTTATTTGATACTTTTTCTCTCTTCATGGGATGCAGTTGTAGATAGTCAAATATGTCAAATATATTAGGTCAAAAAAAAGTTTCGCACCTCATTCGCGACGATTGTCATTGAATTTGACAAGTTACGGCTGAAATGTTATTATGGACAGAAATTGTGGTGTTATAATGCTAGGTAAGAAAGAGCGTGTGGTTCTGGCGCCACCAGTTCTTGCCATGCAACAATTCATGTAGAAATAGTGCAAGTCACATCTCGATTCAACCTAACATCGTCAATGAGCATCCTTTAATAAAGCGTAGCATTGAGCTATGTTCCCACCTGAATAGTTAATACAGACTCTGACAGAAGGGGAATTCCTGATAGATGCTTTTGGAATATTAGTTCTCGTAGGAGCTTTGACAAAAGCTCCAAAGAAATCAAATTAACTTTAAAGTGCTGTGAACGTATATCTTTGGTTGCACGAAACACATCGTTGGTGCACAGAACGGATGTCGCATATAAAAAAATAGTCACTTTTTAGTTAAGTGAAGAAATATATTCAGAAAATAGTATATTTTAACTTGTATAAATGTATAAAAGGTTTTTAGTTTACCAGATTACACCGGGTTACATAGTATGAGTAAATCACATAGTCATTCACCGGAAAATATACGGCTAATTTCAGGTAAAATCCTATCTCTTGCAAAATGACTTTTTATATTTGTCACTTCTCGTGTACATCGGCAATATATATGAACCAGTAATTAATAATTATATGCACGACAAGGAACCTTGAACGTTATTGCTGCCTCCACGCATACTTCATGGTAAGATCACGAAACAGTTGATTTGACACAAGAGCTCACATCTCTTGGTTCGAGGCGGGTAGAGGGTAGAGGCGATGGAAGCACAGCACAATCCATGGTGCGGCATCTTTCCACGAAGACGATTGGTCGCCAAGGCATGCCAGGATGGCGAAATCTAGTATCATGCAATCGAAACATAAATGGCACGGGCTATAAACTGATCTCGTTGTTTCCATTTTAAAGGACGACAAGAAATAAGTATATAACGCACAAACCACAATTCGTGTTTTGTAGGTTCTTGATACCGAAAAATCGATTGACGTCAAAATGTCTGTCTGTTTATCCACCTGCTGTCTGTCCGTCTGCGATCAAGGTTAGCGTTTAGCCGATTTTCTTCAAAATTGATATACCCAAATACATCTGATCGAACTCGAGGCATTGCGAGTTTCAAACGTGTGTTTCGATTTTTGAGGGTACTTTACATGTAGCCTGAACATTGTGAAACTTTTCTCAAATATGGTCTCAAATTGTTTGAATTAACTTTGTTCTCGGAAAGCGCGAAGTACACTTAAGAGATTGATGATTTTCGTTAAAATAACTGATTCTTTCAAAATTGCCAAAGTTCATTTTTTTTCGGATTCTCCCTATAATATTGAAGATAAAACTGTTTTTAAATGAAATCTGTTCTTTAAAAACAGATCTTGAAATAGGTTAATGTACAATTTTTCGAAAATATGGATAGTTTTCGCGTGTTTTTGCAGAAAATATACGCAAATTTTCAATTTTTTAAACAGTTTATTTTCTTTAAAAAAGCTCCAATTTTTTGTTTAATTTTTTCCCCTCGTATGTATCAAAAGACGGAAAAAATAGGTGCTAGTCTCATGTCCGGCCAACTTCATATATTTCCGAAAATTGCAAAAATTTAACATTTCAAAACTACGAAATTGAAGACAACGGGTTTTTCCTTAGTATAAATCTGCTATAAAAATGCCAATCTCATGGTTAATATTAAAAAACGGTAGAAAATTGGAGCTATTCTCATTTCCGGCAACCTCAGTGTATTTTCGAAAACTGCAAAAAGTTAACATTTCAAATGCACGAAATTGAAAATGGAGTTTTTTTCTTCAAAACATTTGTTCTCAAAACTCAGCTCTTAACAAAAGGTCAAATACATTTTTTTAAAAACTACGTACGTAATTTCTCGTTAAAACTAATGCATAATATAAAAAAATTCTCAAAAACTGCTTCCATTAAAAAAAATCTATCCTTGTGTAAAAAAAAGACGCTAAAAAAAGGGCGTAGATCTCATTTTTGTTGATTTCTCTGAATTTTCGAAAATTGAGTATAGAAACACTCAATTTTGTGTTGAGAAAAATAGATTTTTAAGCATCGCCCCGAGTTTGTGCGCCAGAGCGACTGGTTTGGTGCACGGGTAAGGCGCCGATGAATTAACTCGGTGCACCTGAGTTCGTGTGTCGGTGCGGAAAAAATATTTTTGCTGGTTGAAAACACTTTTGAGGGTTCCTCTAGTAGTGTACACTGTGGTGACAAAAGCTATGGGATATCTCCTAACATCGTGTCGGATCTCCTTTTGCCCGGCGAAGTGCAGCAACGCGACCTTCCATGGACTCAATAGTCATTGGAAATTCCCTGCAGAAATAATGAGTAATGCTGCCTCTGTAGTCGTCCATAATTGCGAAAGTGTTGTCGGTGCAGAATTTTGTGCTCAAACTGACTCTTCAATTATGTACCATAAATGCTTGATAGGATTCATACCGGCGAACTGGGTCACTAAAACATTCGCTGGAATTGTCGAGAATTGTTTAGAATTAATCGTTAAGTGAAATGAAATATGTTTTGCGACACAGGCGAGACAGTTTATGATACCATTGACTTATCCAAGCACCAATCACGAATATGATACAAGAAATAACAATGCAATCTACAATCATTGTACTATTATATGGACCATTACATCCATATACATACTCTTTGTTACGCAAAATCTTATGCGCTCCCGCTACGGCTAACTATATACGTCATCCATTTTCAACAAATTTGCGCCAGGCGAACCTGCGCTATGAGCTCCTGCTCTATGAAGTGAAGCCTTAGGTTGCTCCTTACGCGCTTTTTGTCATTTGCAGTTTTAACGACAGCCACGTGACTCGATGTGAATAACGTAAAGACGTTTCTAATGCGCTAAAACTCTCCTTTATTACTGGGAGATATACTAGAAGATGTGAATTAGCTACATTTGTTTATGACTACATAGCACTCTCAAGAATCAACATCCTAACTGAAATAAAAGTACTAGTGTTGAAAGAGTGCATTTGTCATATGAACCTAACAGCTAATCTTTTGATGCAAAAATGATATAATTTATTGCGATTCCCCATTTCTACTACTTGCAGAATTTAACCGAGAACTCTCCCCAGGGTTCCGCCAAGCTGAGCGACACGTCAACAAAGGACGAAATGAAGTCGTTATCGCAATCGCCCAGAACGACAACAGAATAAATATATTCAATGTTGTTCTCTAAACACTGACTCACATTACGTTTGGTAGCGTTGCTACAACAGAACGGGGCCAATATAATCGTTAGAACAGCGTAAAACGATTATGAGATTATTGGAAAACCGAGAAAATTGCTGAAGTTTAACGTAAATGGAGACGTGTGTATGGACGAGAACAACCAACGGGAGTCACAATTGCCCGCATTTGTGATGAGTTTGAGACTCATGGTACCGTAAGTGATGTTTACAAAGGCAGATCTGAGAGACTTCGCCTAAAAACAAGCTCTGAACCATCGGCTATAGTTTTGAAATGATTTAAGCACTCACCGTAAAAATCTACAAAGGAATGTGTGCGAGAGTTTGAGATTAGCAGAACCAGCGTACGACGTTTCATTAAAACAGAAAAGTTGAAAATTGTCATCCCAAGACTTTTGTAAGCATTAAATAAAGATGATTCTGATCGGAGAATAGAATACTGGGAGTATTTTTGGATCATGAAGCAACGAGATGAATGTGGGGAATGTTGTTTGGTCCGGTGAGGCTCAATTTAAATTGAACGGAACTAATAACTGTCATAACTGTGATGAGCAACCAATCCACATGTGTTGTGTAAAAGGTCGTTGATTTACATGGAATAAATATTTGATGAGGGTTTCTTCTGGGAGTTCTTGTTGGATGATTCATTTTTAAATGAGCATTAACTGGCGAAGTGTACCTGGTCATGATACGCACATGCGTCTTCCTCAACATTCATACACTCCAGGGAAATGAGGAATTTTACTTCCAACAGGATGTTGTACACAGTAGAATACCAGCTACGAAACAGTACTAAGAAGTTGAAACGGCATGGGCTGCAATAACTGAGGACACTTTCGCACAGGTTACTCATCATTGTCTGAACCGTTGTTCAACGTACTCCGAAGTGTATCGACGCCGAAGTGGGTATTTTGAGCATCTGTTTCAACTGTTATACTTGTAAAAATCTAAGATGTTAATTGCTCATCATTTTCCGTTTGTATGGATTCAGCTTTGTTATATTAATTAAAGATGTTGTCATTGACAACAATATTTTTTAATGCAATAGCAGCTTTCGATGGCTTAGCCATCATCATCAGTTGTCTGCTAGATGGAAGCCACAAAACGACTACCTGAATTAAAAAAATATTGTTGGCAATGACAACATCTTTAATTATTTTAAAAATGCCAAAGATATCTTACCACAACACCTATATTTGTTATATTAACACAGTTTTTCTTTGCTTGAAGTATATATACATTTTTGGCGCTCTCTATACTTCCTCACGACGTGTTTGGAGTAGATTAAATTACGCAGTATTAATCCTCCTTAGTTACACAACTGATGACCGGCGACTGACTGTTGATTGTTTTACAACGCAATTAAAATATAGATTACCGTTTGCAGAGGTCAACTCTGATACATTTCCTTTCTCGCCTACGCAATAGGATAATTTTAAATTATACCTCTTTTCAACACGTAGTACAAAATGTGAGGGGGTTTATTCAATACAATTCATGTTACAGTTACGAAATTGTCTCCAGTGCGCCAATCTGCGTCGACGGAAGCTGCTGCGACGCCCACGGAAGACAAGACTTTGCCCAACGACAGCACTGCTCCGAAGCCACAGTGAGTAAAATTCAACACCAATAGTAAGTGCTGGAAGCTGAATGGCCAGTGAGAAGTCATTTTAGATATCTCCACAGTTCTCTAATCCCTCATCTCAACAATGCTGCTATTAAATTACCTCTTACCAACCCTTTAGTTGTAGACTCGTTTGCATGTATTACTAAAACTATGCATATGTACATTACATAAATTAATCATTGATGGACTTCAATTACTTTAAGTACTATCATAATTACCACTATTTAAATTAGTGGTAGATTAGAAGTGATTGATTGAAGCAACCATCTAGTGGGAGCTTGCCCCCAGATTAAATAATCGTTAGATTACATTGATTAAAAATTAATCTAGGAAAAATAAAATATGTAAGGAATAATTAGTGAGAGTGCGTCTCATTCACTTAGGTCTCATTGAAGCTTATATTTCATAGTGTATTGTAGGCACCGTGCGGCGCCACAAGAGTCCCGTTCCACAAATTAGAAGCGAATTCACAAGTAACTTCTGACAATCGGCAATTACGATTCACAAATACACTAGCGGACACTAAAAACACTACGAGTTACAAGTTTTTCTATTTCTCTGCGATTTCCGCTCGTTAAAAAGTTGTAAATGAGCAGCGTTTTCTTCTAGGCCTACGGATATGAACTATTTTGTAAGACTCACTATTATATGTGGGAATACTTCTGATGTTGTAGTTAATTAACGCAATAATAGATATTTAGAACTAGTAATTATGCTTTCTAACATTGACTTCTTTATAGTGATACTTGTGATAATGAGTTTTTACATTAAACGATAATGTGTTCAGGAGTGAAGATTCTGTTAGATAAATGTTATAGAAGAAATGTTACGTTTTCAATTATTCGATTCGGTAGACGAAGAAAAGTGAATAGAAGAAAAATAAATGTGGGCCTCCCATCGGTATACGAATTAAATGAGAGATTTCTTAATCATCTCATGACAATATCATACAAAGACAATTCCGCTATCCGCGTGGAATTTACTAGCATCGTTAACGGTTTGGCCAGCTATTCGGAAACGACATTGATGAATGTCTACATATTTTCCAAATTGTTTGTAAAACATACATCACGTAAGCGTAAGATGACATCGTTAAACATAGGGTAAAACTCGGATAGGACATTACAAGGCATGCGGAGTTGTCTCAGAATAAATGTTACACACTTCTAGGGCATCTAGAGGGTAAATTACTACTTTTTGCCAATGAATATGTAGTGGGAAATCTTATACAACGTAGTTACATATGGGGATTTTCCTCTGATTGTTAAACAAGTACAATGTTCGGCGGGTCACATTCGGGCACAATCAAGGAAATATCATGTAGTCTCACACATCTGGTTATAAGGGGCTGCTAAACAATCCCAGCATAAATAAAATGCATATAATCCTGTTATATGCAATTTCCCACTATATGTGTATGGGCAAAAAGTGATCATTTTAGATCTCTCTAAAAGCGTGTAACATTTTTTATGGGACATATGTATATTACAAAATAACATATGGACGGAAACAAAAACAAAAACAAAAAATGAATCAAATAGAAATATTACAACATAAATTCGTTAATGAGAGCATAACTAAACATGCCAAATCACATCAAGCCATGACAACAGTAAACATTTCGTGCACATATAAAGGACTCTTCCACATTCAAAAAATACGTATGTACTTCAAGCAGAATTGCTTTGTGGGTATTCACTTGTGAACATTAACGGAATATTCACTAGTATCCATGAGTGTTGTAAAAACGGCGTGGAACAGAACTTATGAGTACTTGTGAATACTGGCCCTAGTAACTCGTAGCAGGTGGCCTTGTGGCCTTGCTGGAACGGGCTAGGCCAGAAGCTTCGTGCCCCTGAGACGAGCGCCCGGGGGCGGTGCTCCTGCTTGCGGTACTACACTTGGCACAGGGCAGACGGCTGGTGTGCATGCGCAGCCAGATATACCACTGCTATCGTCAGAAGTGGCGCTTAGCTGACTTGAAAAAGTAACGACTCTTAAAGTAACGTCATACTCTTATGCATGACCGTAACATAAACTTGGCTTCTAAAAGTATTAACAAATATATTTTTTCTAAAATATATAAAATTGAAATGAAAGAAAATGTTGTAGTTACATCACATATATATTTATTTCAAGTGACTCACTGATCATTAATAAACCAATAATTATGAATAATGGAACTTTTTTAATAAAATATCGAAGGGAGTCAAATAAGAGAGGAAATAAAAAAATACTATTACCTACATTCCAATCTGTTCAATGATGAATGAGTAAATTTCTATGAGTTAAATGTAATGAAAAACTCATTAATTTTATATTTAATTAATAAAGCAATACACGTGCACCTTTACATTAGTACACATCCATTTAGAGTTCAATATTTACAATACTCTTTTCCTTTAATACAGTGAAATGCGTATTTTGAAATTGGTGAAGTGTTTTTACTGTCTAGTATGTTATAAATGGAATTCAGGACCAGGGCAAGCCAATTACTACACCAGGATATAAAGTTTTAAAAAATTATTACAACATTTCGTGGGTGCTTAACTTCTTAAGGTTCTGGAATGAACATCAACATTGTAAACTGATTCAACACTATATAACTGAGAGAACAACCGAATTACAGTAATACATACATAAACCAATTCCATTAAATATATAACATACTAAAATTTTGGAATCAAAATTGCAATGGATAACAGCATGAAACGCATTTCTGGTCGCGAGCGGCAGCAAGCGTTAACAACAGGTGAGTTACGCAAAACAATCTGAATCCAAGTCTCTAATATAAACAAAAAACAAATCGTTGCAAGTATAATTTGAATATAAAACCGTTGACAAAAAGTGTTATTGTTGCAATACGATATAACTTTTCTCTGTTCTTAATTCGTTACAAAAATGAATGTTTAACATCGTGAGATAGACTTTTGTTAGTTCATTTAAGTAAAAAAATAATCAAGATCTTTCAGGAAAAATTTGTCATCTTGATAGTTTTTAATTTTTGTAAATAATAGAATCTTATAATGTAACATTCTTCTTCTACGCATTTCTATGTAATATATTAAAATGAAAAATCCTACGTATTTTTTTGTAGATCTTACCGTCAGAATAATTTTTTTATATAGATGGATTAAATCGTAACAAATTACAATTTGTTATCATTACTGAAAGAATTACTAACTTTCAAAATATTTATTTATTCATCGTACGGTATTGTGAGCTGTAACACTGCTCTTAGGTAGTGTCCCTCGCCCGAGTTTTCGACCCAGACTTCCTTGAGAGCCTACCTCCGACGCGGGTCCTTTATCCAGCAAACGCATCTCGTGGGCGGTCCCCTAAATACGCCCGAGTTTGACTCTCACTTTTTTCGCCAGGCGCCGCTCTCAGTTAACAATATCTGAACTGTCTGGTTGGGAGAAAGTGAAATCTCATTAGGGCGAGATATTGGAGGGATTTAATTTTGCCGGTCATCTACCAGAGTTATTTTACATGCCTTGTGCCGACAGTGACATGGCTACTGTGGATGTTCCGCCCCTCGAAAATCCACGCACCTCGGCCTGCATCGAACCCGCGCACTGGGGGTTCAGACGCCAATAAGCAACCCACCCAACGAGGCGGCACTCTCAAGATAGATTTGATTGATTGATTTATATTTTCTAATTGTTTCCGTAGGATGTCAGAATTTTATCAGAATTATGGAATTTAAATTATGAATTGATTTCTAATTGCCTGCCAAAAAGTCTATTTCATTTCTTATCACATTGTTTGCTCTTGCGTTCACAGAAAACCAGATGTGGCCAAACCAGTTAGTCGCACAGGAACATGCCGCGTGTGTCTAAAGAGCTTCAAACCCGATGATTTTTTCCGAACCTGTTGTGAATGCCAACAAAAAGTGTGTGAAGACTGTGCTTCGTATTCTAAACCTGATGAAAATGAGGATGAGGTAAGTGACGTCTATACCAAATTTTGCGTACAATTAAAGATCGTACTATATTGACAAATTTTACCAGAAAAATACTAACGATGAAATATTTTGACAAATAAAACAAAGGAGAATGAATTATTGACTTGTAAATTCCCATTATGACGGACGTAGTGTTGTGGCGATAGATCTTCTATAGAACACATAATATTCTTGCCCATGATCGGTAGGCAACTCCTCTTTCGCGGGTGTTTGGCAGGCAGATCTTTGCTTGTAGCAAGAAGTGTATGAAACGATTAACATTGCATCATGCCTAGCAATCACAGACAAATGTCATGTAGAACTTTATTGTATAAAAAACCCCACCACATGTTCATTAGCAATGAATTATCATCTCCGTCCCCACACCTAAGCCTGAACGTTTATAACATTTTATGTAAGACATCTGTAAAGGTATTTTGGATTTCCAATTAATAGAAAACATAAATTATCTCTATATACCGTATTCTGTTGAAACGTTTGGTGCTTTTTAAATTTGTTGAGTCTTCAATTGACGCAACGCGTGTCCAAGACCCGGGCTGGGGGGTGCGTTGAGCGCATTGCGCTTCCGGAGTAATCCTCCATGAATTCATATACGTCATGTCATATCCGTCACGTCTCGACGCAGTAAGTTGTCAAGAGGACCGCCAAGTAGCATCTCCGCGTACGCGCTTCCGCGTCACAACACAGCAACCAGAATTGGGAAGGAATTAGGATTGGGTTAGGGTTTAGGACAGGATAGTCCAATCCCTGTGAAGCATGCAAACTCATTTTGTCGTAACACATTTCACGTCAGGTTCTACGGGGATTCTACGGATTCGGACCCGGAACCTGAGTGGTGAAAGGCAAGCGACTTTGCCACTAAGCCATGAGAGCGTCATGATATTGGCGAATATTTCTACCGAGCGATTCCATCGTCTGATCAGAGTTATGGCAGGATTCAGTGACGGATAATTGTTCGTAAATTCGAAATGGTAAGGGAGCTATGCATTTTATTTTGTTAAGGAAGCTATTTAATCTTCATTTTTCTATCTTTTTGTAACAAGGGGAGGAGATTGATGGACTTTGCTTTCGTTCGGTTCGAGGATAGGGAAGATAATAGAATGCTTCCGTGTAGAAGGATAATATCCTCTACTTGAGGATTATTGAATATATTGGCGATACACCTAATAGAGATTTGGATTGATTTCGGGTACCACGGATATAAGCAGTGCTTAATTTCTACAATTTTAGGTTCCCAAATTAATATTTAATACAAATAGTTGAATATGTATGTTATTTTTTAATAACTATTCCCGAGGTACCGCAACGCAGTTACCTCGTGTTTCGCCAGAAATCAAGCCCTAGGTATAAGTATATTGTTCTTACCTAATCTGGTGTCACTGGCAAGGCAAAGTTGCTTCGCTTTGCTGTAGCTCTTGAATTGAAACCCTCTGAGCGATGAGGGTGAATGTTTGTAGAACATAGACAACTATTTGTTGACACGGTTTGTTTGGAATGTTTAATCTATTGTAGTTTTTTGTAGTTCGTCAATTTTGTTTAATTAATTTCAGTATTGAAAAATGTTTAATGTTAATGTGAGCTGCTTAATGACGTGAGTTTTTATTAAATTGATTAATTCTAGCATATTTTCAGAATTGTTGATATGGTTAGATGGGCTTATAGTGTTTCCAGAGGGTTCCAAATCAGCGTTTTTCTATATTTGGAAATTGATTCGCAATTGTGCAAGCAACATAAAGGATTAATTCTATTTATCATGGATTTTGCAAATACACTTGTTAAATATTTGTTTGCTAGACTGCGCGTTATGGTGTCAATGACTATGCCTTCGCTTAACGCTGAAAATTTAGGATTTGATTCTCAATTTGCAGTGATTTGCGATGTAGTTTGTGGTAGACGCAATGCAGCCAGTAAACAGATAACTGACCAGCTTTTTAATAGCAAAATTGTTGTTAGGTTGCAACATTACGTTGGACATGCTGCGATGTTGGTGGTAGAAAGAGGCGCTGTTGTTGTTAATGTTAAATGTAGTATAGTTAGGTAGGAGTTTGTTGGGTTGTTTTTCTGGACGTCGTAGTCCTGGTATGCGATTTATTTCATTCCTCCACATCGCCCACTGTCTGGAAGACCTGGGCTAGGCCACCGCTATCGCTTGATGATGTGGAACTAACTATTTAGAACCCCCTTATACAGTGTTTGACTTTCTTTTAGCACTAGTACAAAAAACTGAATGGGAGAAGGCAGCTGCAAGGCGAGGCACTGCGCGCAGGGTGCGCCTGTGCGGTTGCTTGCGGAGGAATGGAACCATTATATTCGGGATGCAATTAAATGTGTTGCAGAGTCACTGGCGATGCAGTATCTGCCGGCGGAAGCTGCAAAGCCGAGCCCAACCCGTCATGCAACAAGACTCTACCGACAGTTTGCTCGATGTGCCGGTGCTGGAAGCACTGCAGCGGCGGCACTCGGATGTTAAGATTGGGTCCAGCAATCTCACCGTCTCTGGAGGAGGTGAGCGCCACTGAGTGTTACGTCCAATTCGTGTTCCATCTCTGGGCAAAGAGTGCCACACGTTTCAATAAATGTGATAACATGCCATTTACTTCATGTAAAAGCGCTAGAATTTCAGTCGTGAGGGCTAAGCTTTGGGCTACGGCATTACCTGAAGCTCAGGCCGAGGCTTTCGCTGAGGCTCGGGCTGAGCTAGGACTGAGGCCCAGGCTGAGGCTAGAGCTGAGGCTTGGGCAGAGGCTTGAGCTGAGGCCTGAGCTGAGGTTGGTGCTGAGGTTCGTGCTGAGATTCGGGCTGAGGCTCTGGCAGAGCTAGAACTGAGGCCTAGGCTGATGCTCTGGCTGAGGCTCTGGCTGAGGCTCGGGCTGAGGCGAGGGGTGGCTGCTGTTACAGGTGCGGGGGCGCTGGCGCGGGGCTGGCGCCGCCGCGCTCGCCTGAGCTGCGTCGCCCACTCCGACGTCTCGCCCGCCTCGCTCAAGGAGCTGAGAAGGTTGGGCGCGAGCGCCGCGAGGAGCTGCGTTGGAGCGCGAGCTTCGAGTGGCCGTCAGCACAAGCGCCGCCCGCTGCCGCGCGGGCGGCGACGCCGAGGGTGGGCGCGGGGCGGGGGCGGACGGCGCGCGCCCGAGCGACGGCATGGGCTGCGCGGGCGATGGGGGCGACGCGGGCGACCCGGGCGACGCAGGCGGCGCGGGCGACGGGGGCGACGGCGGCAGCCTAGGAGGCGGCAACGTCACCTCGGGGGATGGTGATTCGACGGGAGCGACGCCTCAGCAGGAAAGACGCGCCTTCGACAGCTGGGACGCGCGGCTCAAACCAGGTGAGTGCAGCGCACGCCGACTCCTCTTCTCGCTAGTCCTTCCGTCGCGCGAACGAAAGTTCCTGTGAGCGGAGAGATCAGAGCACCCGAACCTGCGATTCTTCCCAAACCCATCGGAGCGATCACATTGTTCCATCCGACAGTTCAATCAACGCCAGGATCCGAATCAACATTCCTTATTATAACTTATTACATTCCAGTCCACAAAGGTTAATCTCTTACTGGTGGCGAATACATTATTTCCTTTGATGAATCCTAAATAACTGAACATATTTTATGAATACAGCACATTTCACGGAAATTGTCTTACAGTGACAACAAGACGCAACTACTCTGAATTTTGAGAAACCTAAACTTAAATGCGTTAAATTATACATGTATATGCCGAACAGTAGCGAAAAATAAAATAAATCAATTTATAAATCAATTAAAAAAACATGTGCAACTGTGTGTTCAGTGTTGTTCACAGTAACAACAAATTCAATTCTTTTTTGAAGTTCCCTTTTTTCTTTCAAATGTTTCCCTATAAAAAGGAAGAAAAATGTGCCTCTTCCGAAAGTAAATCATGAATTGCTAAAAATATTACTAATTCTTGTAGAACCAAACAACTTATTTATTATGCAGAGACGGAATAAGTGTTATAAATTTCTACGATATGTGGAGGTAGAATATTATCACCTATTTTCAATGACCATGTGGTTCGAAATTTCACTGGCCTTATGTTCTGACGCAGTCAAAGACATTTTTTCAGTCGGCCAAACACCAATACATGGCGAATTGCCAACAAATCCGTGTTAAATGTCACATATGTAGCACCTTTGTATCAAATTTCCTACCACATGTGCATTGACAAAAAGGGAGTACCTGCCATTCTCTGCATTTGTAACATTTGTTCTGAGACCCGTGTACTAAATGAAAACTTTGCAATATATCCAACAAGTTTCGTTAATATATTAGCAAATCTACATTCATGAAAACCATGTTTAAAGTTTTTTTTAAACGTCTAAACACTTATAACCTATATCTCACAACACCTCCAATTTTGTGATTATCCAATATTTAATGCATATTTTTGAATTATCTGTAATGGAACAATGTGTGTGTGACTTCCCAATCAGTTCATAAGATGCACTAAATTAGTAAGAACATTCAAACTGTGGAACTCACGTTCGTATATCACACAAAAATCATTGATTCCCTTGTGAACGGAGCATCGCAATCATTGATCCGTACTATGAGGCCACACTGGTTAGTTCTGATTTTCAGTTTCAGCTTCGCTTGCCCCGAACAGTCACGAAAAACCCTGCCAAGCGTCATTGTGACAAGTCGTCGTCGTGATAACATTATACATATAGGATAATACTTGGTTTACGTTATCCTCCTTTTTTGCGTTTTCAGCTAGAATTATCTAGTCCGTCTTAAACACACAAGGAGAAACACACGAGCACCTATGCCCAAGATGCGATTCGAACCCGTTGCCCTCCGAGCCACGGTAGTTTCCGCTCTCCTGCCTTAGCGACAGTAGTGCCCCGGATTCACAGGCTGGTTTTAATATTATTTATGGGAAAATAATTGATGGTCAATTGATGAAGAATGTTCAACTTGTAGTAAATGAATTTTTCTTTAATGTATTTTTTTTAGTTTTTTTACGTTTTTCCTATACCACGTGTGAAGAGGATAAAGCTGAAATATACTTCTTTCTTTATAATTATTAATAATTATTGGTATTCATGTAATTTTTTGGTGAAGTTTGCATGTCCGTGTTGTGCTTCATACTCCATATTTTGATCTATAAATGTGCTGTATTTATGCTGCTTTCCGATTTTTCAGTAGCCTCGCCAATGCTGTGTCCTTCTGCTATAATGACAGTCGTCAGCATATTTTAATAATTGTGTTTTATTCACATGTTGGTAAGTATTTGTTTATAACCATAAAAAGGTCCTGACATACTGCCCGATGAGACGCCGGCAAGTACCATTTTTAATTGTGAGTAGCTATTTTATTCCTTTCTCGATCACATTTTTCCAGTCTTTCTTCACGTAGCAAAGGCACAGATAGCATTATATTAGTTCTGAATGATAAAATTAATTCCCCAAATGGCACTTACAGCTTTTAGTGTTTTCTCATAATATACCTTTAGTAATAAATATAACAATTATGCGTAATATATAACACAATGTTCATTTTCCCAAATTGTTTGTAAGATGCACTAAATTACTAAGAACATTCAAACTGTAGTACTTGCGTTCTTACATCACACAAAAATAGTTTTTCTCAATGACTAATTTTAAAGTAAAGTACTTATGTGCTTGAGGTAACAAATTCCTGTTCGATACGTATTTCTTCAATTTGACCTTTACGTGTTAAAAAACTTTCTCCACATTAACTTTTCTATAGATGGCAAATATTCAGAACCTTGAGACTTTGTGAGGTCAAAAACCATAAATTATTATGATTAAGATTAAAAAATCATTCAAAAATATTGATACGGATTCAACTGAAAATATTAAATGAGCAATTGACAATTTTTCATACAACTTAACAATTGGCAAAGTTAGTCATGCGGTTTCTGGATTGGAAGATACTATTTAATTGCTTGTATGAACGTCACTCTGGCATCACCTTGGAAACTCATGAGTTGCAAAACTCCCTTCTTGGTATATTAATGTTTTTGGTTCAAATCGCCTTGACCGGAAGTACTGGTGAGTACACAAGTCAATTGTTCATTAGGTGTTATTCTAATATCTCAAGTAATTGGTTTTCGGTTTTCATTTCTCACTCATATCCAATGTACTTTCTGTTTCTTTTTTAGTTTTATTCCCTTAACACGTATAATGCACAGCACAGGATTGATTAAAATGTGAAGACAATAGATTTGCAATGCATGCGCTACTTATGGGTAAGCCAATAAACGAGTTAGACTACTGCTTACTTATTGAATTAAGTTAACGATTGTTAATATAAATATCGTTATATTTGTATAATACGTTCGACCAAATAAAATTAATAATAGTGTAATATTACCCACAATAATAATCATATAAATGGTCTGCATTGCGTTGTCGGACAAAGCGTTTGCCGTAAGGTTAGTGTGGCGTCGTTAACACGAGGGCCAGAACCGTTAGGTCGGTGAAAGTACGTTGCGGGGGAGGAATGGGTTGAGCCTGAACATCCGGGAGTTTGCGCTCGGGCGGTTGACTCAGGTAGTGCCGCAGAGCCAAAAATACCGGAGGCTGTAAACTCCGAGGATGCTGCCGGCGAGCCTCGTTTACGGAAGCAGGCAGCCAACCTGAGAATTCTGTGTGTGGGCGTAAACCAAAGGCTGGCCTGCGAGTCTCGCGCCAGCCGGCGAATCTACCTATGGAACAGTGGTGGGGGTGTCAGCCTCAACTATTTAACGCGGTGCCATCTGCGACCGCGCTCTCATTCAGTTTGCATCGGGAAGCTTGTACGTGTGTACAAGGGGTGTAGGAGTGTGGGCGAGATGTCCGGAGAGTAAGGGCCAGACAATCTCACGTGCTGTAGGCACACGGTCGCCACGACCGGGTTAAATTTTGGCGTCAGGCCATGTGACGGTAATTGTCACGGGACCGAGGTCCGATAGCGCGCATCACGCGTGGCTTGTATTTTCTGCGGTAAAGCAGTGTTCTGAAAGGAAAAGGTTGCCGGAGTGTTTTAATATTAGCAATTCATTGTAACTGTACATAATCTTTAATATATTATTTTTCTTTTTTTATTGAAATGTATTTCTTATTTCACTACATCACATTAGTTTGGAAGCTACTTTCTGTTCGTGCATGTGTAGCTAACGTAGTGTTTTCCAGAAACAAAGTCTCTCAGCATAAGTTCTGGAGTAGCGAGATGTTTTCTCTTCTCGGATGGGAGTTGTGTTTCGAAAAACATGGTTCCCTTTTTTAATAGGGTGCTATTCATTAAACTTCAGTTGTAGTACCTTCCCCTTAATAGGCTACAAAAACGTGTATTGTGAGAGTCGTTTGCAGAACAAGTGCAGTGGAGGGAGCTCTGTTACATTTATTTATTTATTTGTTCATTTATTGCCAGCATGTATTTTATTTAGTTATGGTATCAGAGCCCGTTAGTGTCGATGAAGAGAATTCTGCGAAGTTGGCTTGTGGGTCGTTCATGAATACGCATTCGTCTTCGGATCGTAGATTTGTAACGGTTAAAAGATTTACAATATGCTGCTAATAATTTGTTCTGGAATGACGCTGCTTCCTAATTAGCATCATAGGGCTAACTGTCATGTAAAACAACTGGTGTCCGTTTATTCGCTAGAATAGTGAGGTCGAATTGTAAGGGTCGTTAATGGTTATGTTATAAAAGGCTAATTGTCGCGTAAAAATTCCATTTACAACAGCTACTACAGCTCCAAACTTTAGGGCTATTCTCCCTTATCGTAACAAACGTGAAGGAATCGGCTTACTTTCGCGAAAAATGGCGAACGACATGGCCCGCGAGCAGAATTATGTCGTATTTTTATTCTTGAACTTTTTAGAAGAATTGACGCTTCGATACGTATCCAATTTCAAGACGAGAGTCCGGCCTTTGGCCTGCGCAATCAACATGAAACATTCTTGAGGTTCACCTACGCATAATTTCCCGTGCATTTTAATACAAACACTTTCTTGCGGGACACCTCTGACGCTTCGTTCGAGTCGAAGTTCAAGACGATACTTCGGTCTTCGGCCTATGCGATGCAATTAACTTAAACTGTTGCTAAGTTCGTTCAATTTTCATTTCCGACGCATTCTATGTCAAAACACCCTTTCAATTAATGAAGACGGGCCATTGTCTTTTGAGGCACGAACCAAATTGTCCTCGTTGCAGCCACTCGGTCTTCACTTTCGTCCACTGATTTCGCGACGTCGAAATTCGTTACAAGGACTTCCGCCCACCTCCTGTTAAGGACTTTTGGGTAAGACGGCGGGAGGGGCGTGCGACGCCGCGAGAGCGCGCGCGGCCCTCGCCGACGCTGGGGCGTGTGCCTGCAGACGGAGGCGAGGCCGTGGACCACAGCGGCCGGCCGCGCGCCTCCATGGGCGACGTGCTGGCGCTGGTGTCGGGCGACGCGGGCGGCGGCGGGGGCGGCGACGAGGACGACGCGTGGCGCCGCCACCGCAGCCGCACCGCGCGCCGCAAGTCCCGGGTCACGCGCCAGCACAGCTACGACGACGAGCTGAAGAACTCCAGCGGCGGGGGCGGAGGCGACGCGGGCCAGCTGGGCGGCGGGCCCGGCGGCGGCGACAGCGGCCTCGGTCAGTGCGCGCTGGAGTTGCTTTTCTAACTGCTGGGCTTCGGCCCTTTTCTTATCTGTACTAAGCTTTCAACAAATATCAGGTCCAATATTAAATCAATCCATTTCTAAAATGCTATATTTATATTACATTCCTATCTTTGTTTCGTTTCCATAATGGCCCTGCTGTTTTTCTGATGATGTATTATTCCATAAAAAAACATTAATACGTAATAAACGTTCAGTAAAAGCGAAAACTGTTGGTATGAACGTAACTCTGACTCTTTTTGTTTGTGAAAAGCAAGGCAAAACAAGTTTCATTAATCTAATTCTGACCGTGTTATGCTCGTCAGTTGCAAGCTATAATTTCGCATTATCTGACTGTTCACGATCACTCGGGTAAATGAGGTCACTTTATTTCAAAGAGCATGACCAAAGCGGTATGTCTGCAGCCGCTCTCGGAATCTCCTCTAAAACTGATGACATCTGTACAAAACTGCTTCATCATTATGAAATAGTATTGTAATTGTCATTTCCATATTTTAAACGATTTTACTCATCATTTTCGAGCATCTGAGAATTGCCACAAAAATGCGGCCGTACCGTTGTGACTCTTAGTAGTAAACATTTTAGTTCAACGTATATCTCAAACGTAATATCACTACACTGAAACATTTTTGTACATAATTTTAATAACTAACTTGTATTATAATTGAATATATTGATTTTTACGACAAAAATACAAATAACGACAGCCGCGTCTATTCGTTGGCGTAACAAAATCAAAATCAACATCTCGAACTGCGCCCGACGAGATAGTATACTAGTAGTCGTCCACGCACCAACGCGTTAAATCCGTTCGTGAACGATGTTGCCGCTTGAGTCAAACTGAACTGGCAGAAATGGTGTAGGCAGAAGTGTATACTCTCTGCACGTGCAAGGGCACGTGGTGTGAAAGTGGTGGCAGATGTGGAAGAGACCTGAGGAGCAGCAGGTGGGAAAGGGCCACGAGAAACCGCAGATGAGAGAAGCGGCAGATAAAATACATTACGCTACACATTTGGTGTGAAAGGTTGACGAAGGTGTGGCAGGTGTGAAAGAGCTACGCGAATCGGCAGTTGTGAAAGGGCCACGTAGAGCGGCAGGTGTGAAAGGGGCATGAAGAGCGGTAAGTGTGAAAGAGCCCCGAGGAGCGGCAGGTGTGAAAGGGCCACGAGGAGCGGCAGGTGTGAATGGGCCACGAGCGGCAGGTGTGAAAGGGCCTTGAGGAGCGGCAGGAGTGGAATGGTCACGAGGTGCGGCAGGTGAGAAGCAGCCGGCGAGGCGCGAGGCTGGCGCTGAGCGCGTCGGCGTGCGCAGGGTTGCCGATGTCGCTGCCGCGCCGGGCGTCCGCCTACGACGTGTACGCGGTGCGGTCCGGCGGCGCGGAGAGCCCCGGCCTGGGCCAGGGGCTGGCGTCGGCGCGCCTGCAGGGGCAGCAGCAGGCGCCGTCGGCCGGGCCCGGGGGCGGGCGCTGCGCCAACGGCCTTGGCGACGCGGCCGACGACGCGGCCGCTGCGCAGGCTCAGGCCCAGGCCCAGCGCCGCCCGTCCTTCCGCGCGGGTGCGTCCCCTGCCGTTGCAGCGCGCGCCTCCCGCCCTTCCGCACGTCCCACCGGGGCGGATGTAGTGGCTGCGGGCACCCGGGCTCCCCGAGCACAAAAGCCTGTGGGGGCTCCGCTCCCGACAAAAAAAGATTACAGGGAGATTACTAAAAGAAGGGACCGCTTTGTCAGATACTGCTTGGCCACTGCTGGTTATGTGCATGCCCTCATTTTGTCAGAGCGTTCGTTTATGATTAGCGCATTGTATAGATTATGATTAGCGCATGTAAATCATTCATCACGATATCTTGTAATGCCATCGCTCTACATGTCCTTCATTTGTTTTTCGATCTGTCAAATTGGTCCCTTCTTAGAGTAACTCCTCTATAAAAAACTAAATACCAAATATTTTTACTGTCATCATATTATTTATAAAATACCCTATTTATCAGTATATTCCATCAACGATTATATTACAGATACACTTTTTACGACATATTTCGAATTTTCCTCAGAAACGCCCCCCCCCCTCTTGGGTGGAAGGCTATAGGAGCAACTGCTAATTTTCCTTGCCGATAAATCCGGTCCTGATACAAACATTCATGTGCTTTAGGTATCACGCCCAAAGTACGAAGTACTCATGCTTTTTCTCGTCGTTTATTTTCAGAGATACAGTAAATCGTCTACAACACTCTCAAAATGACTCGGTAAAATTTCATAATTGTTCTGTAATTTGTTAAGATGTCCTTCAAGGCTATTTAATTTATTTCTCCTCAACCTATCGCTGAAATAAGGTATTGTGTGAAAATGTACAAAATGACTAACTTTTTTGTGCAGACTTCCCATACCCTTCAAGCTCTCAAGCGACCTTTCCGACGGGATCCGTCAAGCAAAGGCAATGTAAAGACGATTCCATAACATGTCGCGTTATCTTAACATGTCGCGAGATATTTTTGATACGGCAACTTAGTGGCCTATATTTATCAGACGTTTAACGCAATAGCGAAATTGGGACAAATTATAAGCTACATACTTTCGACATTCGAAGTAAATGAAAATCACCCTCACTACCGTTTCAAAGAATGATTTAGTAACATGAGTAGAAGATTTGTCACTTTTATTACAAACATACGATGTTGTTTGGGAACACATTCAGATAAGGCAAAAAATGAAAAATGTTTAAGTAAAGTCTCAAAATCTTTCTTGGTCGAGTCAAGGTAAAATGAAAAATATTAACAAAAGAAAAAATTTTCACCAATGATATTGGCATATTTAGGTGTGTATTTAGGCACTTGTCTTATGAGGGCATTCTCATGTAATACTGCTCATGTAACTGCTAATTCAAGTACACTACGCTACACATTTACAACTCTCCTGAATTCACTGAACCTACACAAAGCTCAGTGTGTGTATTTTGCACATGCAAATTTTCTGATAAGATTCGTTCTACGAATAACCCAACGGATTTTTTTGAGAATTTGAACTGTCTGTATTCAATTTCGTTCAATTTTCGTCTTTTTTGGAGAATTAAATGGCGATGTTACAACAGAACCTGCTTTCTCGTATTATGTGCAACCGTTACATATTTTAACACTAGCATAACCGTGTGAAATTCGTCAACATTTTAACTCTCTTGCATATCGTTTCGTGGTCAACGTCGGATTATTTCAGTAAGACATCGTCTCATTGACCCAACACAAAGTTCTGCGGGTGTCCCACTCCACAAAAGTATTTGCAGGCTAGAATTTAATCTTGAGCGCATAGATTTATGACAATGTGGTTGCCACTTTGCCATCACCGTACTCCTGCAGGCGAGGTCGACGGTTGTACTGGCCTGAGGTTCTAGCGGAGGTTGGAAACGGTCTCCCAGACCCTGAGTTTGTCAGCCTCATTCACGTGGGTGCCCAGGTGGGCGCATTGAGTGGGTGGGGTTTAGTTCCAGGTCGCTTTTCCGCTCGAGTGGCCCACAGTTGAGTTTCTATTGCCGACCGCAAGGAACGATTGGTGCGTGGCCTCGACAGCGGACCACATATGAATGTGTGAAAACCACAACGGTATAAGTGACATTTTATACATTCTGAGAAATCTGTTCAGTTAGATCAATATCACTGTAAATTTGCAGTGCTTTGTTTCATCATTAAAACCACGACACTTCAATTCTTCATTAAATCCACGAAAATACATTGCCACTGAAATATAGCCTAAAATAAACACTTTTTCTCAGAATTTATAAAATGTCGCTTTTCCGTTCTGGTTTTCACCTATTCATACAGAAGTCCCAGCGGGAAATTGAGGTCCCTGCACCGTTTCCCTGATTTCCGGCAATAGTCAGTGTATGAGCTGTGGGGAACGCAATGGGACATGTGGCAGTTGGAGTGATGGCTCTAACAATATGAAAGTAAATGACTTGTTTAAAACTTATTTAATTTCCGAATTTCGAAATTTCAGTAATAAAAATCTGACCTATACCTTATTTTTAGGCGAAATTGTCTCTCTTCGAGCAACAAAGTAAAGAAAAAAGATGGTGCCGTTTTTAAAACAATCTTCTACGTATTGATATTTTGGAAAGACGTAAAGATTTTACATAAAACTACATGGAAGCGTACAAATATTTTGGCTACACTACTTGCGCCCGTTTCCTTGAGATCTCATGTTGCGAGATGGAAGAGGAGAAAGGGATTAGTGTCAACAATATCTCGAATCAAATCGGTATCTCGTTTCACGATGCAAATTGTATCTACTTCATGGTAGTGAAGATAGCAAATGTTTTACAACACTCTTCGATACAGTTATTGACAATTCAACTAAGCATAGGAAGAAAAAGAGGTTGGGATTCCGGAGATCAAGAAATGGAGCACTAATTGTAGTGCTCACCCCAGATTCGTAACAAAGATATTTTCTGTTACTTTGATGTTAAAAGTAAATAAGTATCTTTTTTATGAAGATCAAGGTTTGTGGGGAGGGTCTGCACCGATAGCATCCAGCCTACAAGTGTTTTTCTGCCTAAAAATTGGTACTTCTTGTGTATCAATACATAACGTTTTCTTAGATGCGAGAAAGTAAAATATTTCATTGTGTTCAATTTCAAAGTAATTTTTATTAGTTAATTTTTGGTTGTTTATAATTAATGCAAGTGAATACTGAACAAGTTCCGTTGTTGTAGAAAATATTTTTCCCCTTCGTAACTGAACATATCAATAAGCTTCAAAAAATTTTTAAAAAAAGATAAAAAATGTAAATGAAAGTAATTTTGAATGTTTAAGCAAAAAAATTGAGAATTGTATTATAATTTACTGTTAAGAGTGGATGTACACAAAATTCAACCTAGATTTAGACATTTATTGTGAACAACCAAAAATACTAATAAAAGTAAAGAATATATTTGCTACTAGTTTGTTTCGATGAAGATATTTTCATTTGCCCCTCTGATACGATTAAAAACTACGCTTGTGGATTTGTGTCACCAAGAGTGTTCAGGGGAGGGGCTAAAGCCCCTTAAGCCCCACCGAAACAACAATGTGAGGAGTGGTTGAAGTAATGTTGGCGCAGGCGAAGAGGCGACGGCAGCGCAGGCGCAGGTGCAGGCCCAGGCCCAAGCTCAGGCCCAGGCCCAGGCCCAAGCCCAGGCCCAGGCGCAGGCCCAGGCGCAGGTGCGCCGCCCGTCCTTCCGCGCGGGTACGCACCTCCCCCCCCCCTCGCCACCCCCAAAAAATCTCTACTCTACCCTCTCTTTCTGCTTCGGGACAGGGCTCATTGGGGTGCTGGAACCTCCTAGTAAAGCGTGGAGAAAGATTGCAAACCATCACCCAATACCTTGCACGAAGATGGCATTTATTCGTTTACTGATATTTTTTGTTTCATATGTAAACTCGAGTTTGTGGGAAATAGTTCCTTACTATTAATGTTCCAGGGCTACAAATGCTCGTGAGAACGTTAGCACATTAGAATCATACCATTTGTATGTTTTACCGCAGTATTATCAAATTAAATCACCTAGACAATGAAAATTATGCTACTCAAATCGTCTTAGTATTGTTTGTAAAACAGCATCGGCATATTAGATTCTAACGGCATTCATAAATAAATGATACTTTACGAAATATTGAATGCTCTTGTAACAGACCGTTCAGAGTCCTTACAGTTTACAAATATGAAATCTTTAACTTGCAGTGTTAGAATATAGCACATACATATTCGTATTATTTGCAACCAATACGTAAATTGATAATTAAATTCCCAGAATATTTTGATTTCTCCACCAAACTGGTTGTTACACAGCACGGTGTATCTATTTCTTCTTCTGTTCTTCTAAGACCCACTTCAGTAGTAAAGTTGACCTGTTTTGCTGCATGCATTGAAACAAACAGTGACTATAAATGCTGAATTTATAGATCTGAATGACGATCAACATAATATAGAGGATATGAGAGAAGTTCTAAAAAAATTCCACATGTTTAATTTTTGAGAGTTCAAATATTTTCATGAAAATTGCTCTTATTTCAAACAATTCAGTGCACTGTCCTTAATACTACAAAAATGAAAAAATTGGAACTGTTTTCTGAAAATTTGACACGATCTGATACACTAGTATTTGAAAACTTCCAATATTTAGAAAAAATGGACATGAAATCATTTAACGTTTCAATATTGATGAATCGTAGACGCACAAACAGACAGAAGGAGAAGCAAACAGAGGGATAGAAACAGACGAATCGACGAAGAGACATGTTTTCAAAATATACACATTTTCGGCATTAGGGAGCACTAATGTTAATTTCCGTCAAAATCTCGAGAACGATACTTTGCAACGTAACATAATATTCTCTATACTAAGAATAGGAGAAAGAAAGTAGTGGCTCTGGAATTAGTAGTCATGCCAAAGAGCAAAACATTCGTAAGTTGTAATTATCTGTAAATCTTAAGGTCAACCAACTTTGCAGATAATTCCAAGGAGCATAAAAAAATCAAAGTATTGCTTTGTCCCCGAAACACGGTGGCGAGCGTGCTCTGGTGTTGCAGCGGGCTTCGAACTCCCGTCCTCGCCCATGTCTCCGGAGGCGGGCAGCCCCACGGCGATGTCGCTGGGCGTGGACGACGAGCGGCGGTCCAGGCGCCGCGGATCCCAAATGTAAGTCTGCGCATGCGCATCTTCCAAACGCTTCCCCGGGCCAGCGCTGTCGGGAAGACACTCAACCACGCAAAGATTCAGCAATTAATGCAGACATTGCGGATATTTATCTGTAAATTATTCAGTGTAATTACACTCGTACTGAGATTGTAGAGTGTTTGCTAAAACAAGCACGAAACACTGAAGCGATATTTGAAGTCCAAGGGAGAAACGCTTCACAAAGCTCTTTGTGAGCGTGGTTCAGAGCCAGCATTCTCTGAAGTGGTTCTGATCAGGAGGTCCTAGGGTTTGAGTCCTGACGGTGATCAATTTTAGATGCTAGCTGTAGCTAGGTCGAATTCAGCCACTGTCTGCTCTGATCAGTTTTCCTTGGTTTCTTCGACCAATGCCAGGCGAATGCCGCATCGGTACCCAACGGCGAAAGGCCGCACTCCATTCCACTTCCTCGTCCTCTTCTCTCCCCTTACACACATTGAAACGCACTACACAGCAGAGGCACTACACACGACATATGCAGGGAGACCAGTCGAGTGCCAACATTTTTCTTCGGCTGAAGCTTATCCTGGCTGGGGCGGTGCTTCACTGGGGCAAGATACCTCAAGAGGAATCTTCTTCGCAAATAGACATGTAGGTCGGTCCAGGATGTCACCATCCAATGGGCAGCGAATCAACGCCACCTCCCGGGGTCAAACACTCGTTACACAAACGGGACCAATTATTTTTTCATGTTTCCGGGCACGTCACCGCTACGGTCATTAGTTCCGTAAGTGCTGTGCATGTTTGTTCACGGGAGTTGGCGGTGATCTTTCCCCGCTGGATGAGATCCGCCCTACATGCAGCGGCTTTCCTAATCAGGTATCTCCCACTCGCGGGGCATCGCCTCAGACTAGACACGCCCTCAGTTCGCGGCGTACGTGGCAAGGTAGTGCATGCAAATTTAAGTGTGTAAGTAAAGGGCGAGGATATGACAAAGAAAAGGAAGAAAAGATCGCGCGCGATCCCTAGCCCGTTCGTTAGGGTACTGTTCCGGCATTCGCCCAGTAGTAACCGGAGAAACCACGGAAAACGCCGGACACGAACAGCCGACCGCTAGAACTCTCGCCCAGACAGCGGCTGGAGTCGACGTAGCTAGAGCCGCAGTCCGGCGTCCGTCGGGACTGGCCCCCTAGGCGCCCGCCAGCGTGGGCGAGCGAGGGCGAGCGTTTGCGAGCGTGGGCGAGCGTGGGCGAGCGAGGGCGAGCGAGCGCGAGTGCGGGGTGTGCGGGGGTGTGCGCAGGGTGGAGCGCGCGCTGCCGCAGACGCCGCTGTCGGGGGCGGCGGCGCCGGGGGCGGCGCGGCCCTCCTCCACGCCGCCGCGCAACATGGACGACCTGCGCCAGGGCAGCGTCGCCGGGGAGGACATCAAGATCGTCATTCACGATGTCGACTCCGACGCCAACTTCAGTGAGTTCTCTTCTGCACGCAGACGCTTTCTTGCTTACAACTGTGAACAATTCTCACGTTTTCTCTGAAAAATCTAAACTTGTGAATTAAGCTTATGAGAATTAATAATTGTTCGAGAAAATAAAAACCAGAAATAAAATATACTTTGTTATAAGTAACCCCAAAGTATTTTACCTTTACATAATATTTGTATTATTATTATTATGAGAGGTATTGACTCACAAATTAACGAATTTGAAAGAGAACACAGAAAAGAAACCAAACCACATGGATTCTTTCTGGATACACACGCCCAGCAGACAGTATGCATCCACATGGATAGGTTGTTTTCTGCAAAATTCCGTACGAGTCATAACAAAAATATGTTCAATGGAACATTCCCTATCAAACACTACTTTTGGGCGGGATGAATGTTTTTTGTAAATCACATAATTCAAAGTTCATGACACGCTCTGTGCTGAATTTAAGAAAAAACATGAAAATTTGGTTTTAGAGTTCTCTGCGTACCTAGGTAATGAATTGTTGGGCAGTCGGACACCCAGGCGCATCCATAAATATAATTTTTGAAAATTAAAGATGAATTTTTGAAAAAGTTTTAATGAAAATGGCATGTATATCGCAGGATTCAGTGTATCGTATGCCCTATCTTCATGAAACGTTATAAAAATAAAACTGCCAGTGAACAAAACACGCGTCTACAACATCGACAGGAATTTGTTTCCAAAATACATATTCCCCAATCGATCTGATCGCAAGAAGGGTCCTTGCATGGATCTATTAATATTCGGGGAGTTCTATCCATGAAACCCCTAGGACATACTGTAAATGTTATCCAAATTATCTCAATGTGAGTGTGTCTTCAATTCGGTCGTGATGGGCCTTGATTTGAATGTGTTTGGTCTCAATTTTTTTAAATATGTTGCGTCTGCACAGACGCAACGCGTCTCCAAATCCCTTGGGGGACGTTGAGCGCTTTGTGCTTGGCATAATCCTCCATTAATTGCGTGAGGGTAATTTTCCATTACTATCGTCGTAATCGTCTCGTCTCGTCGTAGTCAGTTAGACCACCAGGTAGCATCTCAGCGTACGCACCTCCTACTACGCGCTCACTATCCTGCGATCAGAATTGGGAAGGAATTAGGATTGAGGTAGGGTTTAGGACATTTCACAGGGATTGGTCTAGCCGTTGTGAATCAGTTTAACCTGATGTTGTTGGAAAACATTTCAAAAGACATTGTCCAGAATTAGACGGGAATCGAACCCGGGCCTCCTTGGTGAAAGGCGAGAAACCTCACTCTGAGCCTCCAAATGACTATTTGAACTTGAAACGTAGCGATCTCTTTTTTGAGCGATGAATCAAACAAAATCAACTAAAAAATGTTTTACAAACATTTCAGTTGGCATTTAAGTTTTAAAGAAGTTAGTTCCGCTGCCCTTTGCTTAGGGAACCGACGGCCGAAGGTTCTGAGGTTCCTTGATGAAGGCCGTAAGCACCCACAGGGGCCTTAGCTCCTCGACGATATTCACACTGTTAGTACCAACGGGCGATGCTAAGCTCTTAATTATAAGGCTCACCCGGTAACCCATCAGTTGGGCCTGTACCCGCCGATCTTTGGGCAGGAATCGGCGCGGGACTTGCTCTCAAACCCTCCTAAAGAAGTCCGACAGGGAAACGAATCTCCTGCCAGGTTGCCTAGATTCCGGTGATACGTCGATAGCATCAAAGTGGATGCATTGAGGAGACCCCCGAGCCACCCTGAGTTCAGTCTGGGTGACCCCAGTTGGGCACTTGGCTTTTCTCAAGGGTTATCGAATAGGGATTTGCCCCGGCGCAGTATGAGTGGCGCTTAATTAGGCTCCGGTGCTTGCCCGGACAACAAGTAGCTGTGAGCTGACAGAACTTAAGCCCATTCAGGCGTAATTGGGGTGGTGCCCCGGAGGGGCGCTGCGTTTCGGCGCGTCCGGATGCCACTGCAAATGGGAGAGCGTAGGCTTCCGCGGCCGGAGTCATTTTACTAGGCTGTCCGGGTGACGCCGCGTGCATGGCGAAGGTGCTCGAAGGTGCCAGACACCTTCGCCATGGACGCGGCGTCACCCGGACAGTCTAGTAAATACAGTACAAATGTGTTCTTGTACGCACGCGGGAGAGTGCGGATAAAAGCTAACGCTAAGGTTCCCACCCTGGTAGAAACCCCCCTGGTAGCACAAGAGTTGCGTGGAGTAGTAGCCCATGCCCTTTGCTCATGCAGCATGTTTCGGTTGCAGATTCGCGCCCTGGAGCGAAGCGGCGAGTGGTGCTTCGCCGAGATCCCAGCGACAAGGCGCATCGGAGTAAGTTTTTGCAGCAACTTCCACTTAGCTCGCGATCGTTTCCTCCTTTATCTGTTCGACTGACATAGAGGCTTCATATATTTCTGGCGGAACGAGACAGGATGGCGTTACGGTACCTCGGGAACAATATAAGAAAAATTGCAAACATCCAAAAAGCAGAGGACAAACACTTGGCAACTTCGATTTTTAGTTCAACTAACTTTCAAAAACTCAAAATTAAATAATTTTCCACTTAACTGTATCATTTCTACGAACGTAATAAAATTATTAGTAAAACTCGATTAAATGTCATTACAAACTCTAATTTTATATTTCCTGTTATTATTACATTCAGACATAGAGCCAGTGCTCACACTTTTGCTAACAGTTATTAAGTATAATTTCTAATTATTAAATTACGTTATAAATATATTACTATATTAAATTAATAATTAATATGGGACGCGTACCAGGACCTTCAATATTATAAATGAAGCTAGAGCTTATGGGAGCTACGTGGCAGACCCAACCTGGCACATGAGCCTTTTGCGCCAACCACCCTGATCTCCCCATTAGTTTATTTATTTGTAGATTGGATTTGAAAACGGGTTTCACTAACATTTTTCTAAAGCTGATGGAATTTATCAGTTTCTTCATCTTGCTTTGAAGCTCGGCTGGTGCAGATAGTTAGATTTTAATTTTATATAGGTGTGTTGCGTTTATTGCTCGATGCGTCCCGTCATATTTAAGTAGTGTTTCTTGTGTGTTCAGCTCGTCTTTCAAGTCACCGGGATAATTTGCTCCCTGTGATCATGAACGCCAGGGTTCGCTCTCTTAACAGACAAGTGTTGGTCCTTTTTGTAAATGGACGGCTATTTGATTCGAACATGAAGGTCAATGCTCGCCTTCTTAACGGGCAAGTGTTGTGTGCTTCCTGTGCAAAGCGGGAGCGCGGGAGAGATTGAGCTCCTGCATCCTTCTCGATTGTGTGGCAGCTCGAGGCTTCGGCATGAGAGTTGTGGGAGGCAAGACGGGAAATGACGGCCGCCTCTTCGCCTACATCGTCTGGACGGTGCCTGGGGGACCGGCTGAGAAGGGAGGACTACAGCAAGGAGATAAGGTATACAACTCACAATTCTAATATGCCTTCAGTTTATGTGCACATCCCTTGAAGATTCATTTCAATTCTCTCACATTCTTACAAAGTACCTTAAGATTAGTTCATTACGTTCAGGCTGAAGGAAAATAATTTTAAAGACTTGTCATTTAATTTCAACCATGAAGTTAGTTATAAACACAGATATGCTAATATTGGAAAAAAATAGTTGTGTGAAAGGAAAACGATGTGAATTTTATACATGGATTTATAATATAATTTCCTACGTGTACGTGATTGAATCGTAAATTTTAAACAATTGAAGCAAGTTATAAATTTATTGTTTTTTCACATTATTACTTGTGGCTTAAGGATATGCTGACAAAAAATTATTAATATAACGTCTTCATAAGCAAAGAAAAAATCGCTATAAAATGGGTTGCATTACGAATGATATCGGAACAATTCCGTAGTTGCCGCGGGGCGCAACTCGGTTTCGCAGTTTCAGAGTGTTAAAATGGCCAAGAGCTTTTGAACGTAAGTGCAGAAAGTTGTCGCACGTTTAGAATTAACAGTGCATACGAATGCCGTACCCGTATCCGGAGAACATTAATAAGGCGAAACAACCGCAGACCCTGGGTGAAATTGCGATATAATTGAAGCGATTATTTAAATACTTAAGAACTAATGATACATGCATGCAGACAATGATATATGTATGTATATTAAAATTATTTTCTACATGTTTGAGATAAAATATTTTCAGTTTTTGAAGTATTGCAAGGCCATCTTTTAAACATTTTTACTCGTCCTTTTTAATGTAAGAAAAGAAAGTATATTCAAGCGCCAGAAACGGTAAAAATGCGCCAGAAAAAGTCATACTTTCGGACCCTGATAACAAAAAAGTAGATAAATCCTGTTCCTATTTGTAGTAAATTGCTAGCTCTTACATGTGGTGTTGCAAAAATCCATGTTTTGTCGGTCCTTGACACTGAAAAATGGAGCGACGGCAAAAGTCTGTCTGTCAACACTATCAACTAAACCGTTCAGCTAATTTTCTCCAAAACTGGTATTCCTCGATCGATCTGAACGAACTTAAATCTTTGGAAGTTTCAAATGGACATTTTGATTATTAAGAGTACTTCACAAGAAACCTCAAAAACATTTTCAAAAGTTTCTCAACAATCGCATCAAATCTATTAAAATTTGTTCTCGGATAGCGTGAGAGACGCTCAACAGAATAGTGCGATTCTCACACTCATTGAAATCACTGATTTTTCGAAAATTGCAAAAGTGTAATTGTTTTGAGCGTCTTCCTACAACCATTATATTGAAGATAGAGATTTTTCCCATAATGAAATATATTCTGTCAAGACAGATCTTGAAATAAGATCATGTATAATTTTTCGAAAATATGAGTCGTTTTCATGTAATTTTTCGCAAATATACGCATTTTTTTTATTTTTTTAAAACTTTTTTCAAAAACCGTTCCCATTTTTTAAAGTTTATCTTGACGTTCTCTTCTCACATGTATCAAGGGACGGTAAACATATCCATTTCCGACGCTCTCCCCGAATTTTCGAAAATTGCAAAAAGTTAACCTTTTAGAAATACAATCCCTACTTTCACAGATATTAAAGTAAGATGTAAAAGTGAATACGGACTGTAAGAAAACGCAATTTCCATGAAACAACTATGCATGGTTAGGGTTTCAAATTGCTTATGTAAACATCCGATAAGCGTTGAAAGCTGAAACTATTACCAAGGATTCAGTGTGGTTCTAATAATAAAAGTCTTAAAAGAACAAAAATAACTCCTTACCTAAACGAAGATAGAGAGGGGAAACTCGTCCCCCTGTTAGAATGCGACTATTAAAGAAATTGTGTTGTGCTGTTCCTTAGAATGAATTGCTAATAGAGCCGTTTGAATTTCCTCCGTCTCTCTTGAGGTGTTTCCGCAGTTTTAAGTAGTGCGCTGTGCGCGGCGGGAGGCGCGCCGGCCGTGCTGACGGCGTGGCCCGCGCGTGGGCGTGCGCAGGTGCTCGAATGGGACGGGGTGCCGCTGACGGACCGCAGCTTCGAGGAGGTGTGCGACGTGATGGACCGCGCTGGCGAGATGGTGGAGCTCGTCGTGGAACATGCCACCGACTTGTAAGTAGCGCTTGTATTCCTCAGTTGCCGGCGACAAGTGGACTTCTCTTGCTTGCGCAGACTCTTACCAACACTCAAGTGTATTTCCTGACAACGTTGTCTCCACATTCATCCGGAATCTTCACTTCGCTATTTGCACCGGGAGAGGTGGCTCAGAGCATCAAAGATATCACAGCAGCGCCTCTGACCGGGAGGTCCTAGGTTCGAGTCCCGACTGGGGCAGGATTTTCAACTCTAGCTTGATATCTGGGTGGAGTTCAGTCACTGCCTGGAGGAAAATTCTAGCAGCCGGCTGTTTTGAACGCTAGTTTTCCGTGGTTTCTCCGAACAACACCGGGAGAATGCCGGAGCAGTACCCTAACAAACGAGCCACGGACCGCGCTCGATCTTTCCTTCCTCTTCCTTGTCCTATTATCATCCCATACACGTACACTCACATGCACTACACTGCCGCACTTGTCGGGAGTCCAGTCGGGGGCTCAGAGCTTGTCCGGGCTGGGGCGGTGTTCCACTAAAGGGTGTACCTGGTTGCGGAATACCCCGCCAGCCGACGGTAGGTCGGCGCCGGATCTCACCATCCAGAAGGGGAAGATCCCCTCCACCTCCAGCGATAAAACATACACTCCACTTACGGGAATAATACCTAAGTAGTTGACGCGCCCGGAATCACTAAACAATTCATCAAAAAAAGATATTCACCAGTTGCATCTATCCTACGAGATTGTTCTTTTGGTAAAGAAAATTAAGAGATAAACAATATTTAAATCCACATGATTTATGTAATTGTTCTTGAGTTTTGACTCAATATCGGTTTGAAAAAACTCACTTTCTCACTTCCTGTCTCAAAAATGTTGGGTCAAAAATAGCTAGTCGAGACCAAAGGAAAGAGAAAACTAATATGGGAAGGTCTGTGCCATTCTGTAACAGCACTAGTTTCTTAGTGTAGTCTATCCTTCAAGAGTAGCTTTTTAATTTATATAATTGTCATCATTCCCGTCACCTTGTTGGACGCAATTGCGCTCGGCGAATATATTCTGCAGTAGTAAAGAATCCAATTTGTGACCACATTAGTGAGTAACAATGCATTTTAATAATTAAATTTATTCCAAGACTTGGTTGGTTGCCCCGGGACTCGACCATGGGCATTCGGGTTAACGCCCAGCTGCTCTAACCATTACGCTACCGAGCCAACTAAGCTTTTGATCAGTTTTCATGATCGCGATTATCGCTCCATGTAGTATATATAATTGTCACCATTGCCGTCCTCTTGTGGGACGCCACCTTAGGACAGTCCCACTGGAGATACCTGGAGGCGTATCTATGCAAGCCGATGTATAAGTCGACACTGAATCTCACGTTCTAACAAAGGGGGAACACCGCCATATGCTCGATACACTACAATTACCGGACTAATTACCCTAGAGAGACTAAGTACCGCATCCGAATACACAAAATAATAAATCAAGCCATTAACAATATAAGTCGATTTTTATGATGTGTCTTAGATGTTCTCCAAGGGACATTGTGCTGTCATTCAAGCGTTTTTGTAAGGAACGTTTCGCAAGAGATATCTAAAATATTAGAAGTACATTAGTTGAAAAATAACTATTATAATTTTGCATAACCGTTCTAAATATTATGAGAAAATCTGTACTAAATTATAGCGACATTATTTTTCTGTTTGTGGAAATGTAATGTTTCTTTATTTTTCCTTTGTATTTCTTTTTCAGACGGATGTGTGATTTGCTGGACGAACCAACATCTATGATGTCTATGTCCCGGAAAGCAAACGAGAATTTGGTTATGCAACTGGGTAAGTATGTTAAAGAAAGTGGATTCTTAATGCAATTATATTTCTTACTAAATAACATTTGTAATTGAATCCATGGATTATTTTCATTTTTTATCACATTACAAAGTCATTGGGGTAAAAAAATACTTTTTGAAACTTATCCAAATGCATTTTTTGAATGCACCAGAGAATTTATTTGTTACATAAGTATTAGTTCAGAAAGACGATGTAAGCCTACTTGACGTTTGTTCATTCTCAAACAATGTCACAAAATTTGATATTTTTCAAAGCTGAATTCAAGTACTAATAACTTCATAAAAAGCTAATGATGCATATTGAAAAATCTGATCTATATTTACCTTTATTTATCCATTCCTACTTTTACTACTGGTGAGTAATTGTCCCTTGAGGGACGGCGATCTCTGTGAAAAAAGAACTTGAAAGAGAACGGCCAAGGCGAGAGTGCATTTGGATTCCGCAAAATGGCCACCTGTGGGCCGACCTCGGAAGCGTGCGATAAGATGGCGACCAGGGACCGTGCATGGACTTTGCCGTCCGTCGCTGTGTAGCGAGGAGCTTATGCTTTCGGGAAAGAACGGGGTCTGCGCAGCGGAAATTTAACTACAGCTGCGGCATGCGGGCACCTTAATCGCCGTCCGCTGCGGTCCCTAGAGAATAGACCTCTCGTGCCATCCATCAATCTACTGCATCTGCAATCCACAAATAGGTTTTCATGTCAGAGCCAATGTAACAACCTACGAAATTACGTCTGCGATTTCAAATCAAGAGTCACGACAATGTAACGTAATTTTTAATAGCCGTATTGATCGAGTAAGCTTTATTGTATACCGGCTGCTTACTAGAGACCCAACAAGTTCATAATTTTGAAGGTAGAATAAAAAATGATTGAATAATGCGGGAATGAGAGGGGAAGAATAATGAACTTCATGAAATTCTCTGTCCACTGCAAAGTCCTGGATTTGAGCATTGGTACACGAAGATGGAATGCAAGCCGACTCGTTTAGAACAGTCTTTGTCGAAGAGCAACATAAGTTGGTAGCACTCGGTGAAAGGTATGTGATGTCAACTAGCTACCATTACCGGTTGGCGCTGAGTTCCTGCATAGATGAGTGCAAGACGAAGCATATTAACCTTCCTTTTGGTGTTCACTGAAATAATGAGAAAATGACTATTCATACAATACATTGCTCCAGAACTAAAGTTTGCACGCGAAGAAAGAATTTCGAAGAAAGACGAAAGGTTGTAGTACGAGATATGGCAAAATCATAGAGAAGGATTTAAGAACAGCAGTGAGTTGATAGTAAAGAAATAAAATTGCAGTATCACAATAACTACATTTAACATTTAGAGGAAAGAAGATATAAGACTACCAGACATGTATTGAAATATAGTAAGAGTATGAGGGAACGTCTGTAAGAAGGAAACCTTTCATTGTGGGCAAAAAATCTCAGAATTACACATTTTAAACGTGAAAATTATCTCTACAAATTGTCTCTTAATAAATGTTACAAATTTTAATGGCATGCATAAGGTTCGTAGAAGTTCATATTTAGTTACTGACCCCCTCTCCAATCGACCCCTTTATTTTCACTGACCGCCTTTAATATCTAATCGAACCGACCGCTTTGGGGATACCTGCTTGGGGATACCTTGGGGATACCGCTTTGGGGATACAGACGTTCCCTCACAACAGAGAGAGAGGACTTGGGAGAACGTTATAAAAATTAAAGAAATGCATTATTGACGTTCATAAAAAAGCTAAATATTCTATAATACTATTTAAGAATTTCAAAAGAATAAAATGAAAAAGGCATGCCATTTCAAAAATTATATGGTAGAAATAAGTATAAAATCCTCTGTGATATTATATTGCAACTTCTAACCACCTAGGGTGCGCGAGTTCAGAAGAGGCGATGTGTGGTACTACAAACTTGTGGTGCTTAACTGCACATATTTCTCGCATTATTTCTAACTGCTCCGCTATGTTATACAACATTAACAAGCAAAAGTTTTCTCAATCAGCAAAAGTTATTTTCGGCACGAGACTCGAATTCAGGTCATCAGAGTTAACCCGCCGCCCCTCATTTCACTACACCACAGAAGCGCCGTGTGGTTCGAACCCAGGCCGACGCTAAAAATGTAATGGTCTCAAACCAATATTTCCAACACGTAACTTTTGCGATTTTTGAAAACACGGAGAGTTCACCGAAAATGGGACCAAAACCATACTTTTTATCATTCGTTATTACATCTGTTGCCAACTTCAAGAAAACATGTAACTGTTCGTAGATGGCGCTGATAGTAACAGTAGTGAAATGGCGGCAAAATCGGACTTCGACGTATAAAACAGTCAATATTTTGTAACTGACAAAATAAATTATATATATATATATATATATATATATATATATATATATATATATATAAAGTACAATTTTAGGTGTGGTTATTAATTCTACGTGGATAAATTTTAAACTAGAAATAATAATTCAAACTGACGTGTATGTAATTTGAGTATATCATTTTAAACAATTCTAAAATTCCTTAAATAAAATTCTTTAATAACTAAAGTATATGCTTGGATGGACGCGACTGTAAAAGACTAGTTAGAATTTTTTGGGGGGCCGGGTGCTGGAAAAGCTAGGAATGCCACTGCAAACAGCACACAACTAGTTTTGAGCACCAGCCGCCGCTGTTGGCCTACACTGTAGTGTAACTGGTAAGCGGAGTCTAGGCGCTCAAGTTGGAATCCCATACTAACATTCTTGCAAGTCGGAAACACTTTCGCGGGTTCAACTAATATTATATTACCTAAATAATTTAAAGTAAACGAAAATTATATTATGTTACCTAACTAATATAAATTTGAAATAATACGAGAAAGTATGTGTCGTTTAGCACCACTAGTTTATTGAAAGACAAACTGATGTAATCTGACGTTTCCCGGCTATTTATTAATCACAATCATTAGGCGGTGGAATGAATTTTCAGTAGTGTAAAAGAGAGGTCTTTTACAGTCGCGTCCATCCCTCGTCGCCCAAGTCGAGCAGCGCCGACCCGCTCTGCCTGCTTCCCCTCGCCGCCCTTTCTCGTGCCAGCCGGTCTCACCCAAATCACGCAATGCTTAAATGTATCGCGCAGCTCATTAAACGAAAGCCCCCCGGAGATGATTGAGTGGTCTCAAAACAATAATCATTTAAGCACCGAGTGCGTTATAAGTGTTCTAATGGTTTAGCGGCGACAAAGAGACCGAGGGCCTTTGACCCGAGATCATTAGAACCAGTTAACGCCCGTGATACATACACGAGTTTATTTTTTACATAATTTTAATTATTCATATTTACTAATTATCTTATTGTTAACTTTACTCGGTTTGCCAATACACAATTCCCTCTCATAATTCCTTTCGTAAGAGGTCATGTAGCAACATTTACCTGGTTTCGTATTTCGCTCAATCAGCACGAACCTCACAACCCAGGTAAGTTGTGCAGTGAATATCGAGCTCCTTATGGAAGGCAATAACATGCTACAACGAATCAGTAAACAAATTATTTTGAACCTTTTTGGTGTTATATTGTTTTGCAGAGTTTTGTACTGAACGAGTTCTTCAGTTGGGCGTTTTGCTTTGGGTTTACAGCCCCTTCGCGCGGAAGCACTCGTCAGCGCATTCGAGTGGCGCAGCTGGCCAACAGCGCAGATGCGCGCCCGTGCCACCGCCAGCTGAACACGGTTCTAAATGGCAGCCTTCACATTAGGCTACTCGGCAGTGCCACTGAGCTCATTTGTAAACATGTTGGCTGCCATACGGCTGCCCACCCACAGCGGGGACTCGCGAATACTTCCTTTCTGTGCTCAGTGGCGCTGGTCAGAGGCTCTGCGTGAAGGGCCGTCCGTTTCTCGATGGCGCTGTAGGTGGTTCCGTGTGAAGGCGGTCTTAGTGGCCGGGAGCCGTTTGTTTTCCCGCTCTGTTTCAAGCTAATGTCTGTTCACAGAACCTGAGGAGAAGGCGCCAACATCGCCCACTCGCCGGAAGCTGCCCAAAACCCCGGTATAAACACAAGCGCTCGTGCCTCTGGTCACTGGCCCATGTATTGCTTGAATTGTACCTTACATATTCGTTGTTATGTTTCTTGAATGTTGCGATTTGCTTGTATGAAGCTTGTTCGTTTCATGAAAATGTTCCTCTCAAAAAGTCCTCGATTAATGAATTACGCGTTGTTTGTTAGTTAGTAATTTTGTTCATTCGCTTGATTAGCGTCACAATCTTTTAACACATGGTTTTAAACCCAAAAGTAGTTTCCGTACTTAATTGTCTGTGAGGATGTTTGCCCAAATATAAATCAATTTGAAGGTCGCTGACGATACATTGCGTTATAAATATAACACAATATAAAACGTTATATATGTAACGCAGATTATATTACTATCAAGATATACATGGATGCACTTGACATGGATATTTTGTTACACGTAGTTATCTCCAGCAACACTGAAAAAACTTCCCTCACTGCTGTTTATTGGTGCCCAATACTCCTTGAGCCATTTTTATTGGCTCCTGCCGAAAAGACGGTAGAATCTCACATTTAGTATCTCCAACATCCGCGAAACACTTGCCAGCGATGTTAAATTGTAAATAGCTAAATAATTCCAAGTCACTTAACATGCGATTCGCTTAAGTTGAGGCTTAAATGTGAATTTTGAAGAAATTATAATCCAAATTGTTATTCGCCAGGCCGTACTCCTCATACTGAAATGTATAGATATAGCCTTGTTGATAAAGCAATACTCATCTAGTCAAAAGACTAGATACTTTTCTCAGTTACAACGATCGTACGTCGGGATGCATTCTAAACTATAGGACCAATAAAAAGGTTAAATGTTATCTGTTGTTACTTACCTGAAGGCTCGAGTCATTACCTCTACCTCTTTCAAATTTAGTTCCATCGTAATTTTGAAAGAGTGATCGGTGCGGTTCGCACAACTTCTGAATATTATGAATTTCTCAGAACGATTTTATTCCTCAATACACAACAACTACTTTTTGCCAAAATTAAAAAAAAAACATATTTCAAATTGTGTGTTGTAGGGAGGCGTTTGCCCACTAAACACTACACTGTAGCTCTCTATTATCCCAATGTAAATGTTCTTGTCCAGCGCCTTATCAATTTGCAATTCAACTGCAAACTCTCGCGTACTTAAGCGTGACTGTGTAGAGCGCTGGATATATTTTCTAAGGCCAGGTTTGAAAGGCACTTATAATAATTTGCACTCACTTCGTGGTTCACTAGCATTGCTTTGAATTCACGCACAGTATCTCATTATAATGGAAACGGGCTAATATTCATTACAGTAGCAAAACCACTACGTTTTAAAAAATATTTTGGACAAAAGTTGAATGTTTCTGGACTTACATATTTTATGTAAATAGTTCTTTTAGATATGAACACAAGCATGTTTTTCAATGGGACCTTATACTTTTCTGTTCCATTAGTATGTAATATTGCTTAGGGAGACAAATCCAAATATTCACTTCATTCATTGATAATTTACACTACTTAGTATACTAATGGTATTATTATCACCATCCAAAGCACGATGCATGTGGATGCAGTGTCCAATTTGCTAATTAAGAAAATAATTAGATAGGAAAATAGTTCGTTAGTGAGAGTAGGAGTGTCCTACAGAAATAAAAACGTGTTGCATTGCGTGGGAAGCATCACGCAGTAGAAGAGCGCCGACTTCGAGCTGCTTAGTCCACGCAAATCGTAGCGAGTAGTACTAGTAGTAGAAACCATTTTAGAACCACTTCGCTTTTGTGGAAGATATTCAATTGTTTCCATTACAGTGAGATACAATTTATGCAATTACAGATGTGCCATGTCGAAAAATAGTGAGTTAATTCTCAATGGGACACAGCCTATGTGTCTCTGCATACATATGTATGTGAATGTATACATATAATATGATATGCATGCATTCAAGGAACAATACATTGTTATTGTTGTATGGCTAACCATACCCCGTTGTTCAAACACTTATTCATTAGTTCATAGGGATTCAAAGTTGGCTACCCAATAGTTTGGGTAGGCTACACATATCAATGAACAAAACTAAATTATTTCTTTCTAATTGATTGCTGGAAGAATAAGCAATTATTGAATCTTTATATGTGGGCAAACAATATCAAAATGTCTCTTTATGTAGAGTCATGTTTTGAATATGTTAATAGGGTGATGTGTGTTTGTTGTGAATACTTGTGAATATGTGCTGGCCTCCCACCAAATATTCTAGTGAAAGAAATATTAGTGCGTGTGCATTATGCAAAAGTTATGGTGTGCATTGTGAGAAATTTAGAAGCAATATGACACTTGATAATAGCATTGTGACACATATTAGTAGAAAAAGTACAAATATGGGAGTAAATGATTTCTTCCTTTGGGATGAGAGACAGGTAGTACGAATGGGGTTGTGTTGCTGTTGAATACCATTCATGGGATTATGCCTTGTACAGAATAATTGATATTCATGAAACTCACAAATAATCATTTAGTAAGTACTACTATATTTTAGCAGCAATTTTGGTTTCAGTTTTCTTCAGACCCAATATGCAATGTCTTTTTCTCTTTCTTTAATTAATGTAGTGCAAACCACTAGAAGTTTAGATTATAATTAGATAATTTAAAACATAAAATTATTTTTAAATGAAATGAAATAAATTGTATTATTAAAAACCAACCTAATTTAATATTGCACAACCTTGGTATTCAAAAGTTCGTTTCAGAAATTATTCTTACAATTTTTAAAGATCGCTAATTCATTTCTTTTATCAAGCAAGTTCTTTATTAACGTTTTGTTTCTATTTGTATTTTTCCAAGGCGATCTCAGTTTTTTTTCGGTCTGCTGTCATTTCTGTTCTAATCGAGGTCATTACACAGAAATTAAATTGTAATAGAATATTTACTACATGAACAACATGTAGTTAATTTTTCTAAAATTTACCATAGAACAAAACATAAATAATATTCACGAGAAAGTTTGTCAATAAATCCATTCTGATATTGAATGTTTTGCTAACATTTTCATACATCAATTGCCAAAAATTTGAGTACAGAAGTTAATAGTTTTTGCACAGACAATCTTTAAACATACTATTTTTAAAATGAAATATAATTTAGTTTCCGGAATTGATAAGGTCTGCACAAAGTAAAATCTGAGTGTGTTCTCATGTTCTTAAAATGCATGTTATGTTTGCGGCCATTGGGTAGCTGCATTACTTGCATGATCGCAAGGTGGCAGATACATGTGCAATATGGAAATGGACCTACCATTTTGTCATGTCTTGTAAATACTGTGCTATGGGAGAACTGGTGCCCTTTGCTTGTTCCAATTCTCTCTACTGTTTCATCTCTAACTTTATATGAACTACTCTGGCATGGAAGCTTCTAGCACAGCTTATGATGTAGCGCTTGCACGTACAATAGTTTCATTTACCATTACAAAACCAAGACAATTAATTTATTGGCTGCAGATTGATAAGACACTGAGAAATCATTTATAAATTGTTTGAGTAATATTACAAAAAAGCGGTTATTCTGTTTTTATGATGCAAAACAGTTTTTCAACCAAGGAAAAATGGTTTATTTCACTATTTTTGTTATTTCTTACTCTTGCTCAATTACATTCATTATCCTTGTGTTTATGAAAGCTATATCTCCTTAATTACATTTGTTCAAATATAAAATGAAACTAGAGACATTTAATCAAAAAATTTCACAATTCAACCCCTTTTTCTTTTGTAAATTCTTCATATTTTTTTAAATTTCATATTCTCAAAGGCTTTGACAATACAAATTGTATCTAGTTAATAGCCCTCATAATAATGTACACAAGTCAGACAAATACTTGTATTCTGATTAATCATTTGATCATATACTTTTCGTAGAGTGCTGGTCATGATGCATGTCAGAAGTGTTCCTCTGCTGGGACCACCTTAAACACAACCCTTGTGTTAATATTTTCTGTGATATAAGTATCTTGATGTTTATAAAATTTAATGTTGTTGTCTATTAGATAAAAGAAATATATTAGAGAAAATGTTAATGAAAATGGAATGCTTCTGTACAATCAAAAGTAGGCCAGAGAAACTATTACTTCTAGAAATAATTGGCTTTCAAAAATATTACCTCTAAGAGATAAAATTATTATATAAAACAATTATCTCATAAGCATATAACATCTGTGTAACAATCAGACCAAGAGAACAATGTACAAAGGATGCAGCTTATGCGCCTACCCATGGTCATCTCGGTCAAGACTGAATGTGGATTTTTGTGCTAGTAGTTATAGAAATGTTAATATATTTTATTGTGTATATTGTTAAGGGACCATAGGATACTAAAATCCTAATGTCCAAATCCCTAGTTGAACAAGCTTCCTCTTTCAGTAGATGGAAAAGTGATAAAATAAATATTGATTAGAAAATATTTAGTACTACTTTTCTTAATACTATTAAATCAAACATAGGGGTTATAACCTTAATTAATTTTGGGTAATGATCCTTGAAAACAGTAATTTTGTTTCTCTTTTGTGGGGAAGAGATACATAGTTTAATAAATGAAGAGGATAAACGCATAGAAATTTAAAAAAATTAAATAATTTTTGAAAGATTGGTAATAGAAGGAAGATATGCTTAAAATAAAATATCAATTTCACAGAAACGTGATC